AAATCCTCCGTATTCAAAGCAACGCGTGGCAGGGCATGCACACCGTAAGAAGTCAATTGGCGAGGCCAAGGGAGGGGAAGATAGTTAGCGAAACTATGTCTAAGGTTGATTTCGACCATTTGCAAGCCAATTATTTACTTACAAAACCCATGATGTTACAAACATGGACCAGCTGATTATTCGCCAAACAAAATTGATAGACTAAAGTAGCAACGAAGACAAAGCAAAAGCCAGTTGGCTGACAATCCAACTAATTGCTTACAGTAATTAAAACGCAAAACGAAATACCCAAATCACGATAATAAGAAAAAATGAATCCCGTAAACGGGTGTTTACCAGGGTTACATCCTTCACCAAAACAAATGATCGAATTGAATACCCACAACGCCGGAGCTTAATTAGCCCAATTTAAATCACCCAATATCCACGAAAAGTCTCCATTGGCGGATGGAACGTCTTTATTGGTATACTGCATTTTGGTTGGAGCCCAATTGAGAATGAACTTTACAGATCGAGTGCGTAAGGCAGAGAAGTTAAAAATGGAATAAGGGGGAGACCAGACAAATGGACACCCAAGAATGTACACGGTTGCATCAAGACTAACAAAGAACAGGGTGTACAGCTAGGGCGAATCATTCGTGGGTTCAACGGAATCCGGTGCCTGTACATCGGTGGAATCAGGTAAGTCCAGACCGTCCGTATCTGCTAAAATAAACGGGAGCATGAATGGCACGGGGAGACAACGAAACATGCAGCAGAGAAGTAGAGTAAGAGCACAATGAAGTACCATGCGCACGGGACATTTACACCCGAAAAGTGCGATACGAACATAAAAGATCGGTGACAACGTTCAGCATAAAACATTAAGTGTGAAGTGGGAAAGAGTAGAAGACAGATTTGGTATCGATTACTCTGTAGTCCCTCGTTCATTTTTGACATCAGCAAAACGCAGTTCACTCTTGGCATTACGGAAGCTTTGCATAAATGCAAGTGGTAGTCAACAGCAAAGCGACGTATCCAATTTATTTAACGGAATTTGCAAACAACTTAACCGACAGAAATCTGACTGAAATATCACTGAAGATCACGCATCTAAAACGGAATACCTAAATAACAAAAAACCGCTATTTTCATCTACAGAGATGTGTCGCAAAACACCAATAAAGACAAAGGGCAGAAAACCGAGCAATCCGATTTACTGGTAGAAAGAAAAACGGGGAATGAGCGAAACAAATGAAGACATAGTAGACCATCATTTACAAGTTATAAACTGTTGCCAAGTGCAAAGCTGTTGCGCAGGTAACCATTCGTGAAAACCTGACCAAGAGTGTTTACACGACCAGAAAACAACCACTACCAAGACTAGTCCTAGAAATAACACCACTCCATCTACAAACAAGCAAATGTGTGAAGAAAAAACAGTGAATGACCCTTAGAGAGGAAAACAGCCAGAGAACCTCAAGAAAAGTGGCGAAAATCTCGGTAATATCTCCAGATAAACAGATAAACAAACGAACCAATATGAATTCTACGCAGTGGGAAGTTGAAAAGCTGGTACTCCACACCAAAAGGATGCTGTTGGCTGTAAACTAGAAGAGGCGGAAAACATGCTTCATTCAAACCCACTTAGTACTAGTATCACCACAAACTAATAAAGAGCGGAAATTTCCTGACTAGAATGCACCAAGTTAAAAACAGCTTTTGATCACCTTTTCATGATGCGATCAACCGAACCTACATGGGAAGAGTTGTGCTTGTGTATCAGACATCATTCCAGTGTCCGAACGGAAACACCTACCGACGGGACAAGTCAACATGCTACACGGGAGGAAACCTGCGAAAAGCCCCATTGGATGATGCTTCAGACGCACGGTAAACTTCCATCACAATATTTTGGGTGTGTTCTGAGCTATATCAAGTGATTTAGCATTTTCTACTCACTGCTTTGAAGACATTAGCTCCCGCCGGCCTTCCAAGCTAAACGCTTAAAGAAGTCAGTCGATAACAATTTCGCAGATCAACAATGCAAATGTGACTTTCGTAGACAACTACTGAAAGATTTCATCCCACAAAATTGTGTCAGGTGACGTGCAAATTAATCGCCACAGTCTATTGTTCAGGAACTGACTATGGCAAACAGCCTGAATGGTTAACGTCCGTGAACCGGATTTTTTCAATCTGAGGTAGGTCGTAATCGAAAAAAGCATCACATCTGTGTACACACAATCAGCATAATTTATTCTTTTACTTGGTCGATAATCACGTATCAACTCCGTTTTATGATCCTAGGAGGTAAAATGGTAGGTAAAACGATTTTGAGTTCAAGAAATGACTGAGAATCATGCACACAAGTGAACCAGAAAGGTGAGAAAGGTAAAGGAAAAAGCGTGCAAAACTTGAACAGACCAGGCTAACCAAAAGAACAATCCTGCCACATCACAGAAAAAACGAAAACGGCCAAATATAAAAGATTAGGCTAAGCGTTCTTATGCCAACTACATCGGCATTCAATTCAGTTTCAGTCGCACGATGATGGAAGCCGTTATCATGCGCGTAAATAACGGCAAATGTTGCTCGTAAAGGCGAAATAATATAGTATTCAAGAGCGGCAGAAGTTAAAACAATTAGTTTACTAGAAGTTCAATGTAACTAGTAGGTCCTGAATGATTTCAAAAGATGGGGCAGGAAGTGCTGACCTGTGCAAAAAACAATCACCCAGGAGAACGACAGTTCGAGAGAAGCAGAAATCCTCGGATGTTTTATTAAAGACAACAACATAATCCATTATTGCCGCATCATCAGGCAGATTCATTAACCACGTGGCTTTAAAGACGATGGTTTATTGGGACGGACTTCATGAGTTACAACTAAACTCGATGAATGCATGGGGGTAGTCTATCAATCGCTGAGCGATAGCGTTAGGAAGTAGAAACAGCCAAGAAAAACAATTATGTTCCGATACCTACCCATAACGATTGAACTGATTGCTTTATCCAACTCGATATCCTTCCGTGCAGCCTCCGGATCCAATTTCGGCGCATTGTCCAAAGCGATCAGGAGAACACTCATGTTGTCGCGACTTCCCTTAAGTAGATTAATGAGCACGAGCGAAATCAGAAACAGAATACTTTCAAAGTGAATGCAGCAAAACCAAGTTAAACATTATGAACTTTTTGATAACTTTGTCTTTCGTAAGAAAATCACTGTGGTGTTGTATCACGATAGCGATAATTATAATTACAAAAAATACGCAGGATACACCCCAGTCGGGGTAGCCACATAGAGTTAAGTTCTCCTGTACATGAGAGAACACCAGAAAAAACTACGAAACAGCACTAGTTGCGAATGAATGGCCTTCACTGGGTGGCTTTGTCGTCCATAGCAATATGACTCATTTGAAACGGGCCGGGCAGCTGATCAGACCGTTTTTCACCTTGCTTTTAGACGATATAGTACAATCTATCTTTGCGAATGTTGCAGGCACCACACTCATCTAAACACAAACCATGTGCAAAGACTCGACACGATAAACGGTAAAGCCCCCTGTTAGTAAACATGTAAAAACGGTAGTGGCATACTGCATTTAGTTTATCTACAGTATGGTACTCATCTGCTAGTAAAATACATACTGCATTTTTATTTCCTTTTAGATCCTTTTTGCACAAATATAGTGTTAGATCGAGGGATAAAAATAATTAAATTCATTAACGCTAGATTACCACATACTAACGAAAACTCTGCGATAGAGGATGATAATTATTTTTTTTAACTTTGATACGGAGGAGGATAAATGCATTCATAAAACATGTTTATGGGGAATGAAAAACAATTCTTGAATTGAACGAACGAAGGGATCACTTTTAACTACTTAGTGGATTCCAAAAAGTGTTTTAGTGATTCTTTAAGGAACTTTTCTTGAAAAGTTGAAATTAAAAAAATAAAAGTTATGAAACTATCAAAGCAAAATTAAACTGACCTTATGGAGGCTAGTATCCAGAATCTCTGCGCAAACATCCATTAGGGAGGCGACACAACGGAGCCGCTGCAACACGTAGTTGGCTAAGGCATCATTTTCAAATACATCCCATATTCCATCACACGCTAGTATGAGAAGTTGGTCTCTATCCTTATTTCGAGTCAATACAAAAACGTCGGGTTCCGGGGAAACAAGCTGTTCGGTGGCACCGCGGTTACATAACTGTTTATATTCAAAATCCCCAAGAGCTCTGTTAGAACATAAGAGTAAAAAAGGACACAACGGTTAACACGGTGATAGATGCAGGGTAAAGATAGAACTAATACCAGTGTTGAACAAGCACTAGTAATCAACTCAATAAATTTTTACAAATATTTGAAATCAGTTATTCATGAACGTCGGTGTAGGATAAGTTATTCTACTTTGGCAGTTCAAGGTTCAGAATACTTCGTGCACGATCCTCAGTTTATCCAGTCAACCAAACATTAGGGAAAGACTGGAGTCTCATTAGAACTTATCAAAAAGGTATATAAACCGGTCTAACTGGTGCGTATGATCCGATGAGCTTTGAAACGTTA